ACGGTATATTGTCTACACAAGGTGTAGGCGCCTTGACCCTGAATGTTTGTGTAGGGCATTAAGGTTTTCAGGTAAGTCCCCCTTCTCTCCCGCTTATTATTCTTTATTCCATAGGTCCTCATGGTTGTATGGCAGAGAAGCATCAGTTCAACTGGCTTATGTAGTGTTGTTGTTGTTACCGTTGACTACTCCTTGGGTGCTTTCACGCAATACGAACTATGTGTTCGTAATCCTTAGGCCGTGAATGACACAGTGAGAGCAGCTGGTCACCGTTCCTTTTGGCTGTGCCACTACCATACGGGCCGATTACGTCTATCGACGCTGCTGCATCTCGTTCAACGCCTGCTTTAAAATCATCCGGTAAAAGCAGTCGATCGCTCCTCGGCACAGACTGCATCACGCAGGAGAACTGTGTACAACTGATCCCTCATGTCATCAGACATCATCACATGGTAGGACCCTACGTGCTAATAAAAGTCGCAGTTGGAGTGTCATGAATCGGCGGCTAATACCAGTCAGCTCTGCCACCAGCTGGCCATTTAGGCGATGGGATAGTGCAAATCCGACCCTATGTTCATGTGCTGCTGTTGGGGCGTGTAACCAACACCAGGCTCATGCAAGTTGTCTTGCTGAGCGAGCTGAATCTCGCTGAGTGCGGCGATGTCAGTCCCTTCGCGTTGGGATTCCATCGCGACCAGTGCAGTGCGTCGCTCTTGACGCTCACTCCTATTCCGGTCGAGCAGTGTGAGCACGTTCCAGCACCCGACGTTGAGCGTTTTGCGCGGAGACGTACGATTGCGTTGGCGGGCAATCGTATAGGTTGTGACTCTTAGATTGGAATAAGTAGTGGGTTAGTTGAAACTGGGACGGGAAGTGTATGTGTAGGGAAAGAAAGAAGGGAGACATCAGCAGTAGCAAGTTCTCGCTTATCTACCCCGCTGTATGCAGGAAATAAGGCAATCCTTTTCCCAATGCCATTGCGCGACGGCCGACGCAGCAGTGTTGGCATGATTCATAATTTGAGGTTGGACTAAGATATTTCCAGGGCGTCCTTACCTGACAGAAGAACGGCTCGGGTCGTCAGCCAAAGTCTTGGGAGTAGCTGGTCAAAAATCTATCAGGATCTAGACACCACAGGCCTGAACGCACCATGAACTCTCCTGACATTGGATATATATATATGTATATATATATATATATATATATATATATATATATATATATATATATATATATATATATATATATGCCTGCGTGCTTGCATGCTGAGTAGCTTTATTTCGGGTGGTGGGTTTGCTGTATTATCCTAATGCTTGTTCATCTCATATTGTTGTCTACCTGAACTATCTTCCATAAACGTGCACACGTCGCTTAGGCTAATAATAGTTAACTTCGATAATATTTTCGCGTTTGTGGCATTTTTAAAAATATGTTTTCCGACGTCTTGGATTTATCGCGGATTTGTTCGAAACCAACTTATTTTGTACGCTCATTTATTGACCAGTTATTTCACCGTATCTGTATGCACTATTCGATTTATTTTATTTGATAATGTCATTTCAAGTGATTGGCTGTTGCTTGATATCCCCGGTGTAGCTGCGCTTGATGTGCATGTTGACAAGGTGCCTACCTGTCTATTACCCACTACCTCGTCCATCTGGCTCCAGGAGACAGTTGGTCGTTGCTGGTGGGGACGGGGTTCACGGTCCTTGTGGTCGTGCTAGGCTCGAAGAGTGGTTCCATGCAATCAGTGTAGGGCGGACTACGGTCCAGCCACCGCCTTGTGTGCACTTGATTCCCCAAATACAGCGTGTTTGTATTTGCCTGTGAAGGACTGTTGGCCGGGCTCCGTTGATGAAACGTGGCTCCCATCCGCATGCCTCTCAGTCTTATTCCTTCGGGTTTACACTGGATATGGGGTGTGTGGTTGGAGCTGTGGGTGGTGCAGCGCAAGCAACCCATGGTCCCACTGTAGCCGCAGGCTTCCTGTGGCTGGCCACAGTGACAAGCAAATCCGAGACCGGATGCCGCCAACCATATATAGTTGTGCGCCAGTTCGTCGTGATGCTGTTGGATTCCAGACAGCAAATTTGAGCTACAACTGAGAAGGAGTTAGGCGTTTATTTAAAACCGCATCAATTGGTATTAGGTGTACTCGCACTAGAACATGGTCGGAATCCAGACACTCCAACTTGACCCACGGTCTTGGACTGATGTGGGCCATCTATAGTTGTTGATTATCTGGTCGGCTTGGGTCCAGGTCATCGAGAAATTCGACGGGCGTTTGATGATGCAACATGAACGTTTATGCTATAAAGCAGTGTTGGGGTGCGGTATTATGTTCCAGCACTATGTTCGGCGCGCATCGACCCTGAAGCTACCTCTTAAATGTTGTTTCGAGTCCGAAAGACGATCCACTTGGACATTCATGCCAACAGCAACAATCACAACGTAAATATCCTTTGCTATGCGAAGAGAGCAGCTTTCACGATGGAAATAATCGATGAAATCCTCCGAACTGCAGTCCGTGGGATCGATGAAAAGGTACCTGGTGTTCAGTCGGCCGGTGGCCGAGTGGTCTGCACGTTTGATTTGCATGCATAAGGTCGCCGGTTCGAATCCGCGTAGGGGTGGGCGTCCTCGCGGTATACTCAGCCCGCGCGCGACTGGTGGTGGTTGCGCGGCAGCGAAGCGCCGATACGGCGTACAGCTGACACATTATTATTATTATTATCTGGTGTTCAGACGGTACTTTCTATCCGCAGTGGACCTTCATAGTCTAATCCCACATATGCGACTGTGCATTGATATCTAGTCGAGTAGGTTGCCTCCATCATATTTGCTGAGAGTGACGCTGTCTTGAGTCAGTCTCAATATCGTGAGAGACGCGAAAAGTTAGCGGTTTTAAGCCCGTTTGGCCAGTAGCTGACTAGCTTGAGGCGGGCGGTTGCTTGCCCATAGATTTAAAAATCACAACCCTGCTTTGTAATCTGAGGACACAGGTTCAAGCCTGCGATCCTCGCAGTATCCTTAGCCCACGTGCGACCGGTGGTAGTCGCGCAGCAGCGAAGCGTTGGTACTGCGTATCGGCGTGCTCTTGATACGTGGACGGTTGCAGACCATTGAGCATCGGGTGGTACTCTCCCTCCGTCGGAGACAATGCACGACGATCATGCTTTAAGCCATTGAAAATGAGGCGATAACCTCTCACCTGTTGTTTCCCCTGACTAGATTTTAGGGGAAGATGACCATGCACCTCCCTATATTCCTCGAACAGGATTGTGAAACTGTTTGTCTGACCTATCTGGTATGAGTGGCTCTGAAGGCAAGTGGAAAGTACCACGCAGCGTAGCGCGATGAGTCACGAAAGTACGCAAACCTTCGCACCACTTTAAGAACTAGTATCATCGTGACAACATTCGTTAATCGTCCTACTACGCTTATTCGAGTGAAACTTCATAGTGGTCCATCCGCGATTGACTAAAGGGCTTGACTTTTCCGACTGATATACTTGGTCGAGTTGTGCTTATCTGGATGGTCACACAGAATGAAACAGTTATGTACTGTTTCTGATACAGTGCAGTCACGAGCACATTGGAGCTGTTTCATATGATCTGCTCGTCGCGCTTTCCATCTGATAGTTTTCACTTTCCTCTGGCCACCATATTTTCTCAGTCATAGTTGATCGATATTATACTTTGCTTATAGCCACTTGCTCCATCGCACTTCTGTGATGTCGAATAGAATCGGATCGTCTTTTGAATCAGGGATCGCACTTCTCGTGAACTCTGATCACAAGGTTGTTGTTAAGATGACGTCTTTTATTCCCATCTTCAATTCGATTTTATTTGGCTTGTGTTGTCTGGGAAATATTCATGCACGACTACTGTGCCTATACGTGTTCTACCGCCTAGTCACTGCTTCCAAGACAGTGGATTTATTCTTATCTTTGGTTTTTTCGATTTCAACTCAACGGAAAAGCCCAGGTTACTCACCTTGAATGGATCACAGTCAATAACCGCACCTGCACAGTCCTGGTTGTATATCCGCTCTAGTTGATAATCATTGTCTGTTTAGGGATATACTTCTTTTTGTTGTTTCACTATACCACGGACTGAAGCACAGGGGTGTGCAGCAAGGCTGCATCCACTAGCTCAATCACGTCATTGGCTGACCGCCCTGAATCTTAACCTGAACCTCGAGGTCGACGGCTAACGGGTGTGTAAAGAACGGGGTCTAGTAGGAGTAGGCATTCTGGGTTCAGCCAGAAATTATCGGCACACACAAGTACCTTGTACTGATGCCTCACTGTAGTACAAACGCTAACGGTTGTATGCCGATTGCATTGTTTCAGGGGTGCCCGAACCGTGAACTTGAACGCGAAGCTCATGAGCTCTATGTCAGACACTTGAGCCACCGCGTCGCAAGTTACTCGCACTCTTAATAAACTTTCCGCGTTTTACTGGACTTACTGAATTACTCTTTACTTTGCTTGACATAGGCACATACCGCTGTTGTTTTCTAGATGTGTCCACAGGTCCTTTTCAGATCCTGTTCGAATCTGGTGGCAGCCAGGTGAATTTCCTGCACACGTCAGATTGCGCTTTCTCTGTTGCTTGTATGTGGACATTGCTGCACGAAGCATTTATTGGATAGGATACGACCGTCACCGGGATGCGTGCTGATAGGCCCACTTCTGTCAGCACAATCACTGTGACGACTAGTTATTTATCCACTGATATTTTACACACTGCCTGCTGCAAGTCTTGATCATGGTGCATCCTCTCTCAACTTTTATCGTGAGCAAATGTTACAGCCATAATAGCATATCTCGTTCTTCGCCCCACTCAGTAACTTGCCACGTGATGTCTGGCATGTTCGTGTGGGGCTCACCACTTGTGGACACAACTTGAGCACATCTATTCACCACTGGTTGTTTGGACACAGCTGCTATTCATGCCGTAGTTTGTTCACCTAACTTGTATGCCATCGTATGAATTGGCCCAGTATAGCAAAATTCTCCTGATTTCTATCACTCACTGTATTGCTGCCGCTCAATGTTGCTCCATTCTTTAGCGGAACACTCAGTCCAGTTTCTCCACTCTTCACTCCATCTCACAGTCAGGAAGCACTACCTGAGATGTTTCTCGCTTCTGAATAACGTGCGTGATGGTGAGTTTCTTCGGACTGTTTCTTCACCAGTGGACGGACTGCAATCAGTTGGGCATCCTCACAGAGTCGTATGCATCGTGTCACTCAGAACCCACTGGATGGAACGCTGCCATTTACTCAACTCAATCATACCGTCCTCAACCACACATGATACAAATTTGTAGACCGATCTCTTACGCCTAAATTTCCATCTTGTTCGTCTACTGACCAGCAATGCGCTTACTGTATTCTCTGGCGAGGCGTCCAGTTTCACTATGACCCACTCGTCGCTTGGAGCTGCAATCAGTAATCCATCATGAAACTGACTTCGGTTTGCATTGACCAACAGTGTTGACCTGAATTTCGATCAATCTTTCATATTACTTCACCTACACCTTTAAAGTACCTTGTGCATACCGATTAAGACTCCTCTTGTGAACCGATTTCGTTCACATCCATGATTCTGTTCGAAGCACAGAATTATGTTCCGCTTGTCAATCTTTCGTTGACCCTAACGTTCCGAAATATCTGTCTTGCCATGAACGTCATGGGATTACAGCATTCAAGTGTTATTAGAAACGACTGCGTGTTATGTTGTCGCATCCAATCCATATGTTTGAGCCGGATGATAGTTAGGAAAACATTGGCTGAGAAAATTGAACGGCTAGGTCATTACCAGGCTCTTTGGATTGGATCTCTGGGCGAGACACGATTTAGCCGACCCGTAATGACGATCGCGCCACCCCGTTTCACCCACCTTTTGTAGCTCGAGAAACGAAACCGCACCAGCGTACTAACCTGAAGAGCAAAACACCATGCAGTTGTCTGTTCCTTATTCCATTGGATCTCGCTTATGCCGAATTCGTCCGAATCGCGTGGCTTAAAAGTTCGAATTGATTGATCTCTACTAGTCGATGTATTTGGGACTATTTCTCTTACTCTATTTGGCTGGCGCGATGTTACAAATACGCGATAGCGTTCCACCCACCACCCGAGCCAACAATTAGAAATCGAAAGTGAAATGACATCCCCACTTTAGGGCATCTGAAATCATGTGAGAGCACTCCTAGGAATACAGTTTTGACAGATTTTTCGTATGACATCGAAATTAAAGTTGCGGGTGCATTGTTGTTATTGTTGTTGCTGTTTAGGCATATGCATGCCCCAAACCGAATAGAGTGTCGAAGCCATTTTTACTGCTCACGATCATGAAACCTTGTCATAACGAATCGCTGTTTGTGATTTTTGTTGCTCTTGTGGTCTTGCCAGGTGGCACATTGTCTGTTATCAGATTGTTTGTATGTAGTCTTACCAGCACATTCCTGGAGCTACAGTCAACCAATCAAACAACAACAACGGAGTACATCAGCCATTTGAACTGATGCTTCTCTGCCATACAACCATGAGGACCTATGGAATAAAGAATAATAAGCGGGAGAAAAGGGGGACTTACCTGAAAACCTTAATGCCCTACACAAACATTCAGGGTCAAGGCGCCTACACCTTGTGTAGACAATATACCGTCACAAACAACTGGCTATCGTGCAAAGATAAGGCGGCATCGGCTAGACAGCTTCCTTGCGGCTTTCTCTGCTCCGCGTCGTAATCAGCCATTACCCCGCAGATAACTCAGCACCAAACACACTTTAAACTGGTAATCCGACTAGGAGACTGCAGCAGATGCGCCAGTGGTGTCGGTTTCGAGTCATCCTGTAAAGTCTCGAGTCAATCACAGGGCGAGTCACGTGGACTCCAGCCCGGAAGCCGATACGGACCAACGGCACCCAGTTTGGTCATCAGTGACTTCATTTCCCGCTGCCAAGTCAACTTCTGTCCACCTTGCGCCACTCAATACCTGGCAGATTAAACAAGGTTCTCCTCGGTAAGCGGTGACCAGGCATACGTAGTAAGTACCCAAGTCAACGCAAATTATTCAGTGCTATCTGTTGTTCTAGAGACCTAGCATGATTATCACTACCTAGTACTTGCTTATGCAGATCATCATTGTGAACACGCTGGTATCATCTGACACCAGCAATGCTTCGCAGACAACGAGGAACAAGGGCTTGAAGGCGCCTCAGATCTTCAGACCGAAGGAGCGAAGTTTCACTGTCATAGAAGAGGACGAACTGAAACTACGCCATTACTCAAGTTTTGCTGGTGTTCTTTGTTGTCCATTGTTATCCAGCTGGTCTTATTTGGTTGTGTCTTTCTCGGTCGAATTGATTCTTTTTCGATTTTTCCTTTGGGAGCCAGCGAGTTTCGAACAGCCCTGGATTTGTTAGCAATATGTACTGAGCACCCTGGAGGCGTTCACCAACATTATTGCTTAGCATTCGGGTTCGGATGGTACGAGGTCTAATCTAAATCATCCTTCCAATATACTGAACTAAATGTTTGGGATTGTCAGGTGCTAAACTGAGCTCTGTTATCAACTGCGGTGACTTTCAGTAGTCTGAGGTTGCGGATACTTTCCATGAGAATGTTGGTGGTGGCTGAGATGGAACTATGTAGCGCGTGAAAATCTCGTCAATCATGAGCGACGCACTCCGTCCTATGGTTGATCTGAGAAATTGTGCAAATTCGCTTCCGTGGTTTCGCCTACACTAGCCACGAAAACGGGCCACGTCGAAGTGATCTTGCAGCTATATAGTCCTTCAACATGAGCGTCCCAGTCACTAAATTTACTACCTTCTAAGGAACGTATATACTTAACTGTGTCATTACTTTTATTTTTGCAGCATTAGCGCGTCCAGGGTTATTTGTTTAGACGTTTTAGTCAAGGATTCCGCTATATTGACCACGCTTTCTATTAATCAAATGCAACCGTTAACATTGGACGCTACTTTTATCCTTTCCAAAAGCCGCTGTGGTCGGGCGTTGGTATTCTTTCGTGGTCAGTGCGACTAACAAAGCTCGTTCACTTGCATTAGCTACTGATCGTATACAATTAATCCACGCTTCGAATAATAGCAAACAGAAAACTTACTCATCACATCTCTTCGAATCCCATTTCGATAGATATGTTAGCGACAACTTCTTTTGTATTATGGTACACATCGGTCACTTGCACTGTTGAAACAAAACTGGGTCTGCGTAATGCGACGGTAAGGGTCCGGATAAGTTCAGACTAAAAATCCTCATTAAGTGTTGATCCGTGATCAACTACGCTCCTTACCCCATGATTTACCACAGCAAACTTTTGAGTCATTGTCCCGATGGCATAGAGCCTGAGTGCCACGTATTACTCTTGTTACGATCACTCACATCAGGCCAAGTATGGTCCCTGTTCAACATAATGCACACCGGTCTAAAGTTAGGTTCTTTTCAGCCAACCACTATCTGAGCGTCGAACTGCGGTAGCATCAGTGGTCATGACTCACGTCACCGAGGGAAACGAACGAAAGCTTTCCTCGTTTGTCCACTTTTCACTCCTTAATCATCTGTGGACACAGGGAGCATGAACTGTAATACTACCATACAGCCAGTATTACGGTCTTGGTGGCAACATGACCGCTGCGCGTTGATCTCAGTTGTCTACACAGCATCATTGGTATACGACACAGTAGCTGAGGTGTTTTTCACTTCCATCTAAGGTGTATAATGAACTCGTACCTCCTGGACTATAGCAGTACTCCGTCGCTCCATATCCATGCGGCCACTAGCGGTCAAGCCCGGACTAAGGATGCTATGAACTTGCTCGAACCGGCGATTTGTGAATTGCAATTCAAACGCCTGGACCACTCAGTTATCGGACGCAGGATGAATAGCCTTGGTGTTTGACAGTAACTGGTTTTGTCGTTTCGTATCTCCATCTTTTCGGTGCCTCTTCTTTTTGGTTACTTCATCTCGTAGAGAGTCGTCACCGGAATTGTCAGTCGGTGGTGACGAGATAATATGATGAAATCGACTGCGAAGTTTAGCCTGGTTGGTGGGTACTGTTTCTCTGGACACATCGTATTGGTGAAGCAACCTTAGGGCTCGGAACCGGTGTGGTATAGTCGCGAACGCAACGGTTCTCTGTCACTTAATCTCTTGCTTCTCCTGATTGGACTTGCCATCTAAAGGTCATATGTTTTTCATTCTTGAGTTTTTCCGTGTTAACCATCTAGACTTATTTATATAGGTGCCTCGGTAATTTCATCAATCTCGATTGGCCGCGTGAGTAGTCTTTCCTCCACATCCAGTAACTTAATCACGTCGGTCTTCGCCGTCCCCCGTACTTCACTGGTATTTCCCACAGACTGGCAGCAGTCGAATTGCTGGTTCGAGCCCCACAGGAGTCCGATGAAATGCGCACTGCTGACGATTCCCAGAAGAATAAGACAGCCGGGCGTTCTGGCTGTTTGACTCAGTTAGACAGCGGTGGCCTCATCGAAGATTATATGAGATCTATTACCGTTTCAAATTTTCAGTTCATCGAATCACGAGCAAGCTTGGAGGAGCCGTCATTTCATCCTCAAGACGGTGGGGAAATTCGAACCGTCCTGTTTTAGCTTACCTTTACTACTTTTGTGGCGGAAATTTTCCCTAAGGATCCCAACTTATAGCCCCACCTTTTTGCTCCTCATGAGTATCTACTGAGTTGCTTGCAATCTGGCGTCGTTAGGATCTGAACCTACCCCGTCGCAGCTGCCGCTGACTAACCTGATGCATAAGGCCCCTTGTTTTGGTCTGGTCTCTATGGTTACTGAGTGTGTAGTGCTGTGTATGAACGGACTTATCAGCAGTCCACATGGTTACCGAAAATCAGTTCACCTACTCAGACAGCCGTATTTTGTGGCATCAATTTACAAAACCTTTTCCATGCTAGGAGGCTTCACATCTTACTTAGTGCACTTACTTGAAAGGTATCGGCAGTGCGTCCGCCCACCGTACCGATGCTTCGATGCGGCCTGGCCACCACCAGTCGCGCGAGCACTAGGTATACCGCTAAGTCGTTCGCACATTCTCCCTTGAACTTACATGCTCATAGGGACAATCGCTTCGGCACGTTGACTGAGAGCATGTTAACAATGTTTATGCACCACCGCTTCTGCCATTTAAATTAGCTGGACAGTTATTACTATTATCATTAACGAAAGACCAGTTATATTCTTCCATCCTTTTCCACTGCGCGTCTGATGGGCTCGCCAGGCGAATGTGCGGTTCACTAGTTGGGGATTGATGTCAACATTACATTGGCGACTTATGTTGACGCTTCGGTGCCATGCAGCGGCAGGTGATTGCACACGGGCTGATATAGTACCAATGAATTCAAATCTCACCATGTTATCATCATCAATACACCTTAGTCGTCCAGCTCGTAGCCTTAAGGATCACAAGCGTGCCTTGCTTAGAGGACCTGGAGACCTTCGCACTATCTCACGGGGGACTGGTGGTGATCGCGCGGCAGCGGATCGTCGGTACTGCATACCGGCGTACTCCTGATGTTTTTATTATGCCGCAGCACAATACAAGATCTGGAGAAACAGGCGATATACTGTTTGCTTGTCATCTTGTTTACGGACTGTGAGATCGTGATTGGAGAGGAGAATGAAGCGGGAGACGGTAAGACGGAGCAACTCACAACACAATCGCTGTTGATGTCGACTCTCCGACATGTCAACAAGTGTATTAAACCAAACGTGTTCACCGTCCTTGGAACCCCAGCTCGGCATTCGAGAAACACCAATTAGCACTAATTTCAAAGTAAACATCTTCATTCCCCTTGACCAAGTCACCGCTCGGCCCCCCTCTTCTTTCATCCACACCCACGGCGCGTAAACGACGCACGTCGCGGGAGTCTGTGCTGGCATGCGCAATACGTAGTCCAGCTAGGTGCGTGATCTACTGGTGCTGAGTGGTTCACTCGTTCTTCTTGCTCCGGATACACGATGCCAAACGCGCTCATTCCTTAGCCAGTGTGTTCACGAGACATGAGCTGAATCGCGATGACAACGATCAGGGATTCGAACCCATGGCGCAGAAGATGCATCTCAAGCATCTTAACCACTACACCACGGTTCCCCGCTTTGCGTCAAGTTCCTCAGTGGCTTACTGGGTTTTGTGGTTACGTGTAACTGTTTTTTGTTTGTCACCAAGTATTTCAACCACATCTTTCAGCGCGTCTTGTTCGCTGCACTTCACTTGATTAGCCACTTCCCTCCGCGGTGGCAGTCCTAGTCCTGTTCAGCGGGTCCATCACACTTCGGCAGCCGATTAATAGCTGTGCAATCACTTGAACTATATCTCCCCATACGGCATACTCCCATATGGGTATGTGATTTTGTTTATCAAGCTTCCTGATGTGTATTCCCGATTAAACTGCTTGATGCTGTCCCCATTGCATCACTAACTACACTTATCTGCATTCTTCCTCAAACTTATAGCCACATCTACTCTCAAACGGGAGTGCCATTCATTGTGCTCAGATAAAAATTACCAACTACCGTCAACTGAAGCGCCTTCAGAAGGAATCGCAGTCGCTCCAATAAACTCCTCCGCATCTATGCCGGACCTGCCTCCCAGAGATGAGCTTTCGGTTGACGCAGAGGTTGACGACGCAGGAATTACCGATATTACCGACAGAGTTAAGAGCGACAGCGAGCGCAGCTCTCCAGGTTTGTTTTCGCATACTGTGTGCGTTGGTGTACCCTACCATGTTGGTAGATCATCTTGCCATCGGCGTCATAATCTCTGGTCGCTTCATCAAGTGACTAGATTTTTGTGTGCGCTTGTGATGCTTGATACTGTTGTAGAACCTAACGCATTACTGTTGCGGTGCCATCACTCACTAGAAAGAACATTTTCACTCAAATCACTGGATTACTGTGGCTTCCAAGTTTTTTCATCCAACGTCTTAGCGTCTTCTGTCACAAATCCAAGCTTTACTGACACCACAATGTCTCGGTATTAAACCTTTATTTTTATGGTCATTGTAGCTACAATTGTGGGAAGCTTCTCCTGGCCACATCTGATTTGTCCTAAGGTCTCATTAGATGAGGAGTTTCGTTACTCAGCCCCGGCCTTGTTGCTTTTTGTTCCGGTGGAAATGTGTTCGCTCAAGGCTTCCAAGTTCTTTCCCTGTCTGCACGAGGGACCAAAAAGTGTACGCTGGCGTGACCTTTGGACGTCCCTGAGTGACCAATTTTTGTGCCCCCGGCCGTCCCAATTGGACACTTTTTGGACGACTTTTGGTCACTCAAAAAAATTCGTCCGCAGCTTTAGTGAAGCCCCGCAATATTTTCCACTAGTCGTGTCTACTCCCAGCACTAAATTCCCGGTATATGGGTCTATTTTGAGTTTCCTGTATAGCCATTTTAAAACGTAATTGCACCATTACATGAACAAGTGAAATCCCGATGCATCGGGTGCAAACAATATTCATGCCTGGCGTAGCTTCAGAAGTTTTGGCTTTCAGCTCTAGAGCACTGGGCCTGAAAGTCAACAAATAGCAGGTCATTAAGCAACTTGTGAAAGCCAAAGTGCACCGATAGAAAGATACGATATTGTGATATCTGTGAACTGTGTCCACAGATGTAAATAAGGCAAACGAATAAGGTGAACACCTACATACAGTGATGTACGCATCACTATTATGACGTATGTACACAATGGCATGCTTATTTGCATGATCGTCTATGCACTGTCTATGTACAAAAGGCTGCACGCAAATAGCAAAAGTAGTGGAACCCCGACAAACTGACATAATTAGGCCCGTAGTGGGAAACGGCATGAAACCATTTTGCTTGTGCAGGATAACTGGCACCTACCCCACGGAATCTCATTCTATACGTAGAAAACATAAAATTAGGCCTCATTCAAAAGGCTCGACGTGATAGCATGGAGTATGGTTATTCAGTAACGCAAATGGCAATGGTCAGGCACATTATATGACGCAGTGTATATTCATCGTTGCTTACTTACTGTAGCCTGCGATGTTGAGATGAAAAAGGGTCCTGCTCCGCAGGAGTCCATGCACGTTGGATACGTTCGTGAGTCTTCTAAAGCCACCGACGGAGCCGACCTTTCACCTCTTCTGTGCAGCTATATATCCCAATCCGTATTACTGCATTTAGAATATGGAGATCAGGTGATATATTGGGAACTAACCGGTGATTGCCCGGGTCAATCTAATCTCGCCGAAGCGGTGTTTTGTGCGAACGCCTCGCCGGTTCAATTGGTTAGCCAGCTCGTCCATGCAGGCAGCCTGCATGATGTTGCGCACTGCTGTCGAAACGGTATTCCCGCCGATCATGGTGAAGTAGTTAATCTAAAGTAAAAACATACATAAGCGGCATCATACCAACTTGCCCCTTGACAGTGCGGCTCTTTAGCCATCGATCTAGTGATTGCAGCTCCTCCACCGTCTTCAACCGAAACGTTACAGAGCATGCACTAATCTTGGCATAAGCTGACAACTGAAAGCGAATGGAGGACATCTCTAACTTCAAGGCGTGAACTTCCTTTCGAATTCTAGCGTTGTTACTGAGCTGTTTCGTGCAATACTCCCACATATATTGCTTAATTTCCAGCATTGACTGGTGCAACACACGCAGTTCCGTTGTTACAGAATGGTCGTGCTGCGGTACATCAATTCGGGAGTTGAAGCGAAAGCGCTAAGAAGTATCTAATTATCTTGCTGCGACGGGGCTTGTAACTTGGGGAACGTTTTCCAAGACAGCCAGATGTATCCGCTGAGGGACCTCATCCTCCAAATCCAACATCGGAGGAGGCGGTGAATACTGGATGGCCCTAGCCCCTGGATGTGGTGCAACTTGGTGGACCTTTGTTTGCGTTTCGAAGTCTGGTCGCAGGACAGGAAGCCTGAAATGGTATTGCAGAAGTTTTACTTACAGACGTCTCTTCCCGCCCCACTCCATAGGCAGTGTACCGTCAGTTGACGGAGGATCGGTGTGGTCCTCCAAGAAGCGTGCGATACGTTTGGCCTTTTCGCTATCATCTACAAACAACATTATAACAAATTACGACATACCAGTTAAGCGGATAGTTCTAACCACAAAGCGTTTCGCCGTCGCAAATGGCGTTTTACCACGCAGAAGCAAATCATCGGTTTTCTTGGAATCAAAACCTGGCCACAGGACTGTATTGGTGTCCGACATCCACTTCCTGTGGGCAACAGCGATTGTGATGTCCTCAAACTCCATTATATGGCGCATCTAAAGAAATTGTCACGCGTAACCTTGCCATGGATGGTAAATGAGCAAAAATAAGCTTGGCTGCTTTGGACATCTGGAGGAGGAAAATGAAAACGCGCTTCTTTGCAGAAGCGCGTGGTTGGAAAACACAAACTCACACAGGAGACAAACTGCAACCTAGCGCTCACATTGCGGGCGCTGTCATCTGCCTCTCTGAAATCCCAGTTACAAAACACCTGACAAATAACACCTGAAAACTTCATGCATGAGCATGACGCTTCTGTACATTTTTATCTGGCCCTCTCGGGTTCAGTCTCTCGCAGACGAGAATATACACTTCTTCTTCCACACACTTCGACCAGTGATATGAAAACTGCATAAAGTCAATCTTTCAGGCTAGCATTTACTTGGAAATCAATGAGTACAGTCCACAGATTGGTAACGCGAGAACAGCCAAGAAGTCATCCGGGAACATGATCACCTTATAGAAAAGAACGCCATATTAGTGGCGGAAACTTTCTTTACCGTGTCCTGAGTTGTGCGTAGGCTTGGCGGGACAAGAACTGCTATTTGCTCCAAGATTGCCTTCCTGAGCAGGGATCCCCCAATGTGATAAACGCCAAATGGGGTCCGGTGCACCAGTTGGGAGTAGAGAACACAGCATGGTTAATGGGTAACGGCCACTTCATTGACCAACAGTGCAACCGGTCCAGCGTTGTCTGTAGGCGGTCAGCATCATAAAGCTTTGACACCTCTAGCCATAGTTTCAGATCATCAGCATATATGATGTACTCAGTTTGGAGCTCGGATGGAAGAATATTGATGTAGAATTTGTAGAGCTCAGGACCAAGGACAGCCATGCGGGACCCCGCTGATCATGAAAACAGGACTGGAGTAGGTATGGTTCACTTTAACTTGCATGCTTCTACCATTCTGAAAGTCAGCGACTCAGAAGCCAATCTTCCCAAAAACGCCAATTCCCTGGAGTTGGAGAAGGAGACCTACATGAGTAGCCTTGTCAAATGCCTTGCAAAAGTCGACGAAAACGTCATCGAGACGATTACAGGCATCTAGCGATCTGGCCCGTTTTTCGCTGGCAACAAGCAAGTTAGAGGCACAGGAACGTGTCTTCCGAAAACCATGTTGAGCGCATGAGATGATATGCAGGTTCCCTAGGTGAAAATTTAGAGCTCTCCTAGAATTCTTTTCATGAGTTTACAAATTATCGATGTCAGACAGATCGGCCGGTAGTTTGCAGGATCTTGACGATCTTCTCCCTTGTGTATGCATACTAGTGTCCACTGAAATTCATGCGGTCATTATAAACCACACATGCATATAGTGACTTAAATTACCTACGGAAATGACACTTACCACGGAATTTTTAAAGCTTCATTGCGGAACTCCAATATATATTGCCACTTAGTTTTCTACCGGTACCGCAGAGTAATGAAGCGCGTCACTCTGCAATTCACCATCTGTGTATTGTGTGCACCATACACACTCAGATGCACGCCAAAGAATAGCCCTTAAGTCTGAAATAAGACATCACGACATCAACTAATATACAATGGAACTTGCGTTACGAGCCGCTGTTCCATCCCAAGTATGCGCAATAGGATAGACCACTTTCACCTCCTCGGTTTCCGGAAATGACAAACACTTGCATTGGATGGAATCGATGGAGATCCACTTTTGCTTGGGATGAAATCGAGAACATCTGTATATCCGCAGATGATTAGACGGAATAAATTTGTGGAAGAAGGCCTCCACTCTCGCATAACTTTGCACGCACACCAGTGTATTACGAATGCCGACAATCACTGACGGTCTGTTGCCAACAATTACGGCATTGTCCGGATGCGCATCTGTCACAACAAAACCTGTGACGGGAACCTGGTTCACTGTACAAGGGCGGCGTGCCGTTGGAGTGCTGTATGTGTATTCAAGGTATCCGTCCGACGGTAGTTGCGAATACACAGCCTTCTCAACCAATCGTCGAAATACCTGAGACGCCGACATGCGTGGACCACGAACAAGACGGCGCAACTTGTGAAGATGAGACTCAAATGGAACACTGAAATAGGAGTCCGGTGGTCCAAATTCACGCACGTCATCGCACAAATGTAGTAAGCAATGGACGTTAAACACTAACTCTTGGCGACCGTAGATGTCCACGAACTGATCAACCGTCTTGCGAATCGTTGACTGCTATAGGGGACTAGTATTCGCACCACTTCTTGCAGCAGAACACATACATCACCAAGGAGAAGTTCAAGAAGTTCTCGTACATCCTAGGGTGCTATATACCACACATCACAACAAGACCAATGTACAGCAGGAACTGCCGATACTCTGGCTTTCCATCGATCTGCATCTACGAAATTGCGGCACTTTCTGGGGAAATTTTCCGTCAGTGACTTGCGGCATTGATCTATCCTAGTGTTCACTTCCGATATCATCATCATCATTACACGTTAGCTGAAGGTGGAAAACACCTCAGCTATTGTGCCGCAATACAAAAGACAAGAAAAGGAAAACAGTGGCACGCCCGCTGAGTCCCCAGTAACGGATGGACATCGTTCCGGAGAGCTAACAGCTGGCTGCCGTAAAAAGAGAAACATATTATGCCTAAGAGATGAGATCGTGATTGGAGGGGGATATTAAAAAGGAGGGGGATGGGCAAAGGAAATCACAACACAAACGCCATTGGTGCCGGCTCCTAGCCATATCAGCAAGTGTGTCCAACCAAACGTGTTCGTCGTCCTTAGGACCCCAGCCAGGCAGTCGGGATGCACCAACCGACGCCAACTTCGAAGTGAGGGTTTTCATTTCTCTCGACCAAGTCATCACTTGGCCTCCCCTCCTCCTCTTCCAACCGCACCCACAACGCGCAAACAATGCACGTCGCGGTAGTCGGTGTGCTGGCATGCGTAACACGTGGCCCAGCCATCGGAGCCTGGTGCGTGATATAATGGTGCTGAGCGGTTCACTCGCTCTTCCTGCACCAAATACGCGACGTCGAACACGCTCATTGCTCACGCGGTGTTCCCACCAGACATGAGCTAAGCTGCGAAGGCAGCGATGATCGAATGTGACGAGTCTCTTCATGTCAGTCGACCTGGTGGGTCAGGTTTCACAACCATATAAGAGAGTAGAACGGACGGCTGCGTTGTAAACTCTACCTTTCAGGGCGAGAGTAATGTCGCGTCTGCGCCACAGGTGGCGGAGATTGGCAAAAGCACCTCGAGCTTTTGCTATGCGGTTCGTAACCTCATCTTCAATCCCACGGGTGCTAATATAGCTGCCCAGGTACTTGAATTCCTGAACGACTTCTAGCAGATCACCACCAAGCGTTAGCGCAGGGTTGGGTCCCTGCCAATCTTGGAGAAGTACTTTGCATTTCGATGGAGCAAAGCATAGCCCAAAACGATTGACAGCCAGTGCTAATCGGTCCAGTGCTCTTTGGCATGTTTGGAGGCTGTCACAGATTAGGGCAATATCGTCCGAGTACTCCAAGTCAAGAAGTCGCTCACCAGGAAGTAGCTCCACACCATCTAGGTCGTGTCCAGCGAACGCTGTTTCTATGACTTCATCAACAGCGAAGTTGAAGAGGAAAGGTGACAGCGGGCATCCTTGTCTCACGCCGCTGGTGATACTGAAGGGTGGCGACAGTTTGCCATAAACCCTCACCCTGCCCGAACTATGCGCGTACAGCGCTTTGATAATGTTTACATATTTATCAGGCACACCTTTCCTCAGCAGACAGTCCCAAAGGGCACATCGATTGACCGAATCGAAGGCACCTTTTATGTCAAGAAACACGACAACGGTGGGTCGCCAATAAACATGGCGGTGCTCCAACACTTGACGCAATGTGAAGATGTGGTCGATGCAGCCCCGACCTCTACGAAATCCGGCTTGCTCTTCCCGAATCTGGCTTTCACGAGTGCCAGTCAGTCTGTGGAGAATGACAGAAGCAAGCAATTTAGAGGCAATCGAAATCAGACTGATCCCTCTATGATTACCACATTCCAAACGAGAGCCTCCCTTGAAAATTGGGACAATGACGGAGCGGTTCCAGTCTGTCGGCACTGTCTCCTGCTCCCAAAGTCTTACTAGCAACTCGTGTAGATCATCTACTAGAGCAGGTCCACCGAATTTGAAGAGGGCTGGGGGAATTCTATCTGCTCCTGAGGACTTATGCAATTTCAACAGCCGGATCTCACGTCCGACCTCTGCGCGTGAGGGCGGATCCAACGAGACGGCCCAAGGAGAAGGGCGCTCAATGCCCGAAGAAGAAAGTGATAACGCAGGTTTGTTAAATTGCCTTGCAAAGTGTTCGGCCCAACGCTCCAAGCGTTTTGACAAGCTGTGGATCGGCTGCCCACTCTCGTCGCGTATGGTCTCGCTAACACCAGGTCTCCTGCTGCCTGTTTCCCGTATCAGACGGAATAACTTACGATGATTACCAACGGCAGCGGCTGTTTCCATCTCAGAGGCACGATGAGACCACCAGGTTTCGCGGTCCTTCTTCAGGCTAGCCCGTAGTTTTGCCCTGAGATTTTTGCGAGCCTCATTGTATTCGCTTCCAGCCGGAATACGTCGTCGAGCATCCATAAGTTCCATAGACTGTGTAGAGACCCAGTGTCCGGTTTGGCAATTTGCTTTACCACATGAAGACACTCCCTGCGGACAGTAACGTTTGACGAATATGCAACCAGTGATCTTCAACGGTGTTTAGTGGGCGCTTACCCAGCCCGGATGTCAGCGCACTATGGTATACATTCAGAACATCTGGCTTCGCCAACTGGCTGGTGTCAATCCGTTCACCTCGACGTTGCGGACGTCCACCGAAACGCACTCGGAGGTCGGCACAGACAAGTGCGTGGTCAAAGTCCACGCTCGTGCTCCAAATTGAGCGACAATTCTGGACACAGCTCCTCCAGCGGTAACTGATCGCGATATGATCGATTTGTGTCCATGGTTGGCCCGAGGCCGATGGCCGCCAAGTCACGCTTCTGCGGGTGCTGTGTCGGAAGTTAGTGCTCGCGAGAAAGAGGCGAGCATCTTCACACAGATGAAGCAATCGCTCACCATTATCATTACGCGATCCTACACCATGTTGGCCGCCCAGATGAAGCTCGTCAGAGGACAATTGTCCGACTTGGGCGTTTAGATCACCAGCCAACACCACAGTATCCGTGCTTCTTCTGTAACGAAGGAGCTCGTGAAGTTGCTGATAGAAATCATCTTTTACCGAATCAGTGCTACAGTTTGTAGGGGCGTAAGCCGCAATGACAAATAGGCACCGTTTGTCCCCGCGCGACTTCGTAGCACGGAAGGAACCAGCTAATCTAACGGCACACATCCTACTGTTTACTGGGATCCAATCAATCAGGGCAGCTTCAGCCCGGGGACTCAAAACAATGCCGACGCCAGCTTGACCGGCATTTGAAGCTGCATCATCGCCAGATAAGCGCAATGAGAATGTGCCGCCAGTGTCGCATGTGGGGGATCTCAGGGTAAGTACGGAGCTCGAATCTTGCAGACGGGTTTCTGATAAACAGCAAATATCGATCGATAGGGTCTCTTCCGATATCTGCATGGCGGACAAGCGCACCTCGGTGTATGTGGGATCCTTGCACCTCATGAACCCAAGGCAAACCATGTGTATGTAATCCAGAGGAACACAGGTTATCATGTCAATGCGAAGTGCCTCAAAGGGGAAATCACCAACGTGATGTTTTTCTTGAAGACGCAGATGGAAATCATCATTCCTTGGCATGGTACCCTTGTCCAGTGGGAAAGTCATGTGACCATCTACATGCACACCTATAGGAAGTTATTGAAATATTAATGAAATTGGATACTGACCACTAACGGCACATTTCTCGCATGCGTAGTAACCGGAATGCTGCTTCACTTGTCGGATGTATGCCCGAGCAGGAGCATCCGCAATCACACGCTTCAAGGTAAGTGTCACCAAGGGACCCTCTGGAGTTATACAGATTTCAGGATGCATGCCATCCCTCAGCTCAACAATGCTTGGTCGTAGGAACCCACGTACATCTGCGGGCTTCGACAAGCCGAAATACAATCCGACAATGAAAACGGATGAAGGCGGATCCGTGAGTCTAGCCAAGACAGGTCACAATTGTTTATGCGAACTGCAAAACAGGGTGAGTCCATCTGTGTGCAGTTGCAGCTGCAACTTCGACATGACAGTGGCATCGTCGGTTTACAACACGCGATGTATTCCTGTACTCAGTCCAACGTGCACGTAATCGCCACCCTTAACAACGGTAACCGGGCATCCACGTGGTGTACCGAGCAATGTGCGCGAATCGCACGGCAATTCAGGGTGCAACGCACGAAGGCGCCGAAGCATCAGGTTTATCGTTCTAGCTGGTAAATATCCATCAATCACGATACCGCGGCAGATTGCAGTCATGCTTGGCAACTGCGGTATTAATATCACAGGTGGTAAATCAGCAGACATTTTTTTAAACATGTTACGCGTTTGTAAAGTTCGTTTACAAATAATCGACTCCAAAAATTGCGCCTGCAAACCATGTGAACCTGAACGAACAATGTCCACGGAATCCATTAATGGCTGTGTAGAAGTGCCAGCCACTTTTTCAGGGCTTCTGAAGTGCTAGGGGCACAACCCGTCGGGACCTGATTTGGGAAACATCTGAAGACTTTAACCAAAGGAACACATGTGCATACCGAATGCAGCATTGTTCTGCATTACGGTACCGTAAGCATGTTTCATGAGATGATAGGTTAGACCGAGATCCACCAGTATAAGGCCTTCGAGGTCGGCGAGTCATAACTACAAACTTTCACCGCGATAGCAATGGCGAGCAAATGTCCGATATATGATTTTCTGGTACAGTTAAACAAACGTTCAGTGTGGGGATAATCAAACCTGTAACATTATTTGAATAGCATCTCTTGTGTTCCATGTTATAGCTAAACTGACTGTGTAGTTTTCTTCACATTTAGTCATTATTTTACGAGTGACCAAAAAGGCTCCCAAATGGGACGCTCGATAGTCCACCTGTGCGGACAAGGTTGCCACTTTCGTCGGACTTACTCCATAGGCTTATCACAAGTTTTACCGGTCAGGGTGTTGCCATCGTCTAAATGACCACCGAGCTATAGTACCACAATGTGCATTATCTTTGCTCTTTAGCATGTTACAAGCGTTTTGAACTTGATAGTTCTCCTGCTGGGGAAAATTTTGTGCTGATTCCGTTTTTTATCGATTTTCCAACTATTGAGACTTTGTACTTTTTGTTACGCTTACCTGGTTTACCATTCTATTCTATTTATGTTCATTGCATAAAATTCACTGCTCCTCCAGTTTCAGCAGTCTGATCAACTCCACTTTTCTGCTGTAGCCTCTGCAAAAACACCCCGCTGCAATGTATGTCGAAAACGAGTTGGTCCCGCTGGAGGTGAGTATCAACATTTACATATATATATATATATATATATATATATATATATATAATTGGACGTTTTACAAATTAAATTAGACACACTACATTTTAAGCAGAAAATCAGCCATTTGCAAGAAATGAGGAGTAAGGCGACTAGACGATATCCAGACCACATTGTAGTCATACTAATGCAACGGAATTGTGTAAGCTGCGGGTGCCACTACAAACTCTTCTGTTGCTCGTGAACCTGCTCACCTCGATCAAAACTGTGACTGACTTTCCCTCCTCTCTCCTTATCGGCGTTCGCGTAGTTTATGTGCCTGTGCCTTTACACATGAACCTGTGTAGTTGCATGACTACTGGAAAGTCATACTCCCAAATCGTGTAGTCTATTATGACTTAGACAGAAGTTACCTATCATTGGAGGGTCATTGTGAAGCTTTCGGTTTGTGAATGGAATGTGATACGCCATCTCAATGTGGACCGCAATTTCCATTGAAGTGAGCCTTGGTCAATTCGATCACTAGGACCGTAACTGATGAAGCAGATAAGTGGTGATCCAGTTGTCCCCTGTCTCTCTAAGGGCCTTCGCGTATTTTTTGTAAATGTGTGGGTGAACTTATGCAGCTGCGCGACTATTTTAACCATGTAGGCCCTCGTGACTCCACCAAACACAATCAAGCTCTATTAGCCTGTAGCTGCAGTTTGTTAACAAAGGAAGAAGAGTAATGCGACTTTATGATGTTTCGGCCAGATTGTATTTACTCAAATGGGACAAAACTGCTCAAGCCTTGGAAGCCCTTCTCTTGATCAAGTACGTCATTCACTTCGATTGAAACCCGTGAAACCCGTAGGCCTTCGCGTATTTTCTGTGAATGTGTGGATGAACCTATGCAGCTGCACGACTATTTGAACACCATACACTATCACCGTCCCACAAAACACGGTCCAGCTTTATTAGCCTGCAGTTGCACGAAATGGTCCGAATGAACGACAAGAGAACGCATCTCTACGACCGCGGTTGTATAATCAAACATCATCGGCACAGAAAGTGATCATCACAATCTTGTGTCCGTCAACAACAAACCCACCCACGAAGCTACTGAAGTCGCTGATGTCAACAACAGCACGGCAAGAAACATCATTGCTTACAGGAGAGAAGGCACGAGCACTCAGCACAATGATGGAGGAAAAAACAGGGAAGAGCCCTTCGATGTGACCGCTGAACAGCATTCCGAGGACACTTTGGTGCAGCTGCATCAGCAGCTGAGTGAGAACGTGATCCACCTATCCTTATCTGCTATCTTCAACGCCTTCACGGGGCTAAAGATAACACTTATAGTGCCACTACGCGCTAGACCGCGTTAACACTACCACAACCATCGCAAACCGGCAGGGCTAAGCTCTTGCCTTCTAAGTACACGCACCGAATGATAAACAGAAATGCATCTTCATGGATGAGAGCGAATTCATTCTCCATCTACGGCGGACTCGGGCTCGCTCAGGATGAGGGACGCGCACGAATATCCTCTTGCCTACAGTCACAGGCTGCATAGTGATGCTGATTTGTCGTCGATGGACACATAATTGTGAGGATCTCTTTATGTGCCAATGAGGTTTGTTTGCACCGCTGCGGCCTTAGAGATGCGTTTTCTCACCGCTCATTTTGATCGTTTCGTGCAGCTGCACTCAACGAATCATGATAGCCTACAATGTTCCAGTCGTGCTGCTGCATATGTTCGCTCACAAGCCCACCTACAATACGTGAAGGCCGATTGAGTATCAGGAGATGATTGAGTCACCGGCTTTTCTGGAAGTGAACGACGCACTCGATCAACAGAAGGGTTTCCACAATCGCCCACTGCTTGCATTTGCGTAAGCACAGTGTGCTTGGAACGTCGTCCAGTCGCCTTACGCTTCTTTCTTTGTTAACAATCCGCAACTACAGGCTAATATAACTTGACTGCGTTTGGTGGAGCCATGATGGCCTACATGGTTCCAGTAGTCGCACAGCTGCATAAGTTCACCCACACATTTACAAAAAAATACGCGAAGGCTCATAGAGGGACAGGGGACAACTGGGTCACCACCTATCTGCTTCATTAGTTACAGTCCCAGTGATCGAATTGGCCAAGATTTACTGCAATGGGAATCGCGGTTCATGAACAAATATTTTCGGCAAATTCATGCATGGCCCAAGACCTGGGTATTACGTGTGTAATGAATAATAATAATAATGTGTCAGCTGAAAGCCGTAACGGCGCTTCGCTGCCGCGCGACCACCACCAATCGCGCGCGGGCCGAGTATACCGCGAGGACGCACACCCCTACGCGGATTCGAACCGGTGACCTTATGATTGCAAAGCAAACGTGCAGACCACTCGGCCGACAGTATTACGTGTGAGTGGACGTTGTTAGCGTGTGATTATCTGAGACATTGCACCTCGCATGTTAGTATCGTAAACTTGAAGGGATCCTCTCATGGTAGACACACACAAGTCGGATATGTGAAGTTTGGTGAGCCCCAATGCCGAAAAGTGCTTGGCGGGGACTGGGAATATATGACTCCGGTTGTTGATGATTAACGCATGATGCATGATATTTAATACCGTAGGAAATTCCGAGCGCACAAAGCGGGTTATGGCCTCCGCACGAGCATCTGCATCGTATTTGTCAATTTTTACTTGATAACTACGGATCATTCTGTAGCTGTCGCATATCGCCACGCCCATTACGTGTGCTGTGGAGTTCTTGATGGCAATTGTATCCGACTTGATGTACGTTGGTGCCGCTGAGATGGGGGCTCTGCACTGATTTGGGTTCCTTTACGACGAAGCGTGTTGGTTAGTTGCTTCATGATATCGTTGTGCCTCTTACAGCGAGCATCATGGGTTACTGCACAGGACCGCAGGACATGGCAAAGTGTTTCGTTTCGTCCATAAACGCACCAGCAGTGAAGATCGGTTGGGTTTGGGAGTGGTCATCCTCCGGAGCATTGATATTTTGTCCACAACACCCCTGCTCGAAGTTGGGTTCCTCTGATATAGCGTCTGGGAAAACTTCGCTCGGGGTTTCTTATCTAGTTATGGAACGCGGGCGTCGTAAATACCCCTCGAACCAAGAATCCGTCTACAGATTGTAGCAATGAGTTCTTCTATGCTTCCTTCGCGTCACTTTTGTCAAAGACGACTTCGTTCCAAATGTCCACGGGCTTCGTGGTGAGACGCTAGATAATTGCCGCTGACGGTTCTCGGCTGGCAATTTTGCGGGAGAGTGAAAGACGTCGTTATAGACCGTCCTTCTGAAGCAATGGGATCATAGTAGAAAGGCAGGGAACCCTATATATATGTATATATATATATATATATATATATATATATATATATATATACAGATATTGTGCCATCGGAATCATGGCTAAATAGGAAGACAGTATGAATAATAAGAGAAGAGAAACAACAACAATAGCTTTTTTTGTCTAGTTTACCACTCGCAGTTTTTGTACTTTTCTCAGTTTGTTTTTTTAAGAGGAGGAAGAAGGGACACCACAACACACCGATGCACACGTCCGCCATTGACATCAATCTTGAGGGTTGTCTTAGCGGGCCCAACCCCGAGCCTTTGATCAAACATCTAACCTACAAGGCAGCAGGACGATGTGAGGGCGTCGCAACCCGTTGGGAGCCGGTGACCAAATGGATGGTTCATACGCCTTTCGGTCCTTGAAGGACCAGGAGCCCAACACACCCTTGAAATACAATGCCTCTCAGGGAGGGGCAAGGGGCAGTGACTTTATTTAGTGGCGAGTCACATCCGCCACGTCGCAGGGATCTTAAACGGATATTTGTGGCTTTTTATATGACGAACGCTTGCCAGGCTTAAACCCGCCACGTACTGGAACACTGCCGCTGAACATTTTGCTGGAAAGGGTAGGTCCCGAACCACCCAGCTGGCACCACGAGGAAATAGTTCGGTAAGCCAATCAGCTTGTTATATTCGATAATTGCGGCTTCGCGGTTTAACTCATTCCCGGTGGGAACACCGCGTGGGCAATTAGCGTATTTGGCCTCGCTTATTTGGTGTAGGAAGATCGAATGAACCGCTCAGCACCATTATATCACGCACCAGCCTGAGCCACGTGTTGCGCATGTCAGAACACAAAGTCCCTCGATGTGCGTTTGCGCAACGGGCTGTGGATGAGAAATGAATAGGGGAGGCCAAGCGATGATTTCGTTGAGGTGAATGAAGACCCTCACTTCGAAATAGGCATCGGTTTATGTTTCCCGTGTGCCGGGCTGGAGTCCCAACACGATGGATGCGTTTGGTTGGATACACTTGATGATATGACGAGCAGCCGACCCCAGTAGCGTTTGTTGTGAGTTTCTTTGCCCCCTCCCATCACGCCTATCTTCCCTCTCAAACTACAATCTCAGTCTTGGAGCGTGATGTGTTATTTAGCAATATATCGTTACGTTTTGTATGTCGTTCCTTCATCTCTTTTTCATATATATTTTTGTATTGTGGCACAATAGTTAAAGGGTTTTTCCGCCTTCAGCAGATAATGATCATGAATAAGTGACAAACCTACAGCGTCCAAGGCGTAGGCGAAGAATCATCCATCGTGGGATGACCCCATTTTGGCAGTCAGATAGTTCATTTCCGATGCCATGCACACGTGATGTGATGGCGTTTACCATCCAGTAGATCGTTCTCATCATCATTACTCGTTAGCTGAAGGTGAGAAGCTTACATCAACTGTTGTGCTGCAAACATTGAAATAAGAAAAAGCAAGCACCATAGAATGCAAAAAACTAGCAGGTCACTACTTAGTAACATTATGCCTCAAGAGAGAGATAATGGTTGGAGCGGTATGGAGAGGGTCAAAGAAACGCTAGTCGATGCGAAATTGGTATCGGAATTTATGCGATTCCTTGATGCGCATTTTGCGTATCACACCCGGATAAGATGTAGTGCAGCTGCAGTATGCTGCCACCGCGACGTGATTCCACGCATAT